TTTATAATATAGATATATGCACAATTTTTTGAAGAGATACATCTATGACGATGACATATGTAATATGATGATATTAATATCTTTGTAGTGGACGAAAAGATATGGCTAATGAAGTGAGCAGCTATTATGGGCCTGTAATTGAAAATTTCAACTGTGACAAGAGCGTCTATATGGCAGTTGAAGTAACCGCTGGGAATAGATTGTTTCATCACATTGTGGAGACCGACAAGTTTGGCACAAAAATTTTAAAAGAAATGAACAATCAACGGTTGCCAGGAGAAGTAACTTTTATGCCACTGAATAGACTTCACGTAAAGGATATTGATTATCCACAGACTTCTGATGCTATACCCATGATATCCAAGTTGAATTATGATCCCAAATTTGATAAAGCGTTAAGGTAAAAGGATATAAAATAAAAATTATTAAATAAGAATTTTTTTCTTTTCTTGTTTTATTTCTTTGTAATATATAAAAGTTTTTTTATATATTATTATCGTACATTATTATATTATATTTTTGTTAAATATAGATATATATTTGGAAAGACTTTGATCTGTCGTAATTTGGAAGCAGCAACGACTTTGGCGCGGGATTCTGGCTTAGATTGCGTTACATTAGAAGGAGACCAAGTTTCATCCAAAGGCTCTTTAACTGGTGGATATTTCAATACACTCAGATCACGGCTTGAGATACAAAAAACTAGATCGGAATTAATGTCACAAATTTCTACTCTTGAAACTCAATTAACGACGCTTAAAGAAGAAATCAGAAAGGCGGATCAAAATATTAGTTCTTACGTTAGCGAAATGCAGAGAACTGAAACTAAAAATAGTAAAGCTAAGTATGTAATTAGATATTTTTAATCTAGAATTATAATTAATATTAATTTCAAAAATTATACAGGGTGTCCCAAAATAATCACTAAATATTTCGTGGGCAGGTAGAGCGAACTAAACTGAGTTGAAGTCTTTTATCATTTTGGAATTTTCACAATAATTAACAAGATATTAATTGGTAAAAATTGTCGAAAATTAATCTTCAATAATTTTCAAATACTATCAATTTTACAGAAAAATTGCAAGAGACAAAAATGGTTTATTTTTTTCTCATAGAGCTTTGAAAATTTTTTCAGAATTTTTAATCAACTTTTTAGTATTGCATTTTCTTTTTTTTATCAACATGAGAAAATACGGTATTAAAAAATTCTGAAAAAATTTTGAAAAAATTCTTAGTTTTATGAGAAAAAAAATAATTTTTGCCTCTTACAATTTTTCTGTAAAGTTAAGTATTTAAGTAAAAAATTATTGAAGACTAATTTTTGGCAATTTTTAATAATTAATATCTCGTTAACTTTGTGAAAATTGTAAAATGATAAAGAACTTTTTGACTTAGTTTACTTTAATCCGCTCTATCCATGAAATATTTGGCGATTATTTGGGGCATCCTGTATATATATATTAGAGTGAGCCGAAAAAAAATTTTTTGAAAATCGATCAATACTCCCCCCTCCTTTCCCAAAAGTTAACTATGGACAATATGATTTGGGTAAAATTTCATCAAAATCAATTAGTATCTTCAGGTTGCTCTTCAACTTTGAAATTAGTATTTATGCATTTCTTGGATACATGTGTCAAAAAAAATATTAAAATTTCAATTCTATTTGAAACTTGTTTTTTTTTTGGTCGCTGAATATGAATTCGAGGTCAGAAGTACACATTTCAAAATAGCGGATCCAACATGACGACATACGACAGGGTGAGTAAAAAGTGTCGGAGCGACACTCAAAAACTAAGCATTTTCGAAAGAAATGTTTCCTAAAAGTTATAGAGTTTTAAATGATCTATTCACTGATCTGGTCAGTCTGACCTTGAGTAACATCGTCAAGATCAGGTCAAAGTCACATAGATAGTATGAAAATTGTATTGAAATTTAAATATTTTTTCGAATTTTAACACATGTATCCAAGAAATACATAAATACTAATTTAAAAGTCAAAGGACAACCTGAAGATATTAATCGGATGAAATTGTACCCAAATCATAAATCCATAGCTAACTTTTAAAGGGTATTACTAATCGATTTTCAAAAAAATTGTTTTCCACCTTAATACATACTAGAGGTGTCTAGAAATATCAAACTTCGGGAGCGTATAAAAGATCGATAAACTAAAAAAAAATGTCCTGTAGAGATATGTTCGTTTTTGTTTCGTTTTAGAAAAAATCGCAAAAAATGATCCCATTAGAAAAAAAATTTTTCACCTGAAAATGGAATTATTGCAGTACAAGAACAAAGCAATTACGTTTAGTCTTTTTTGCGATTTTCTCCAAAACGAAGTAAAAACGAGCATATCTCTATAGAACTTTTTTCTTAGTTTATCAAATCACTATATGCTCCTGAAGTTTTGACATATAAATTTCTAGACATCCTCTGTATGCGCATGTGCGCGCGTCGTTTAAATATTTATATTTAATTATTAGAAACAAGTGTAGAAATTTTTTTGTTATTGATTTTAATTATGAGGATTAATTAGCAGTTCATTATTAATTTGACAGAGATATATACGACAAAATGAAAGCAGAAATACGTCTTATGAAGGAAGAATTAAGTGCTATAGAAAGATATCGAACACCAAAAGAAAAAAGTCTTGCACAATGTACTTCAAGTTTGGAAGCTATGCGTGCGACTAAAGACGGCCTGGAGAGTGAATTACATCAAGAACTTATGGCACAGTTATCCGTTGCAGATCAGCATCAGGTGAGCGTACAAATTTTTAAATTGAATTGCAGTTGAATTAAGAATATGATATTTTTTTTCCTTTTTTCTATCTTAAATTAAAGATTGAAACTCTATTTTATCGATTTTGGTAGGTCGATACTTTAAATGACGATATCAGACGTTTAACAAAGGAGAACAAAGAAGCATTCGCGAAACGAATGCAATTAGAAGCAGAAAAAAATAAATTAGAGAACTTATTAACGAACAACTTAGTGAGAAGGAAGGATGAGCTAGTTCAAGCTTTACAAGAGATATCGGTCGAAGATCGGCAGCGTCAGCTTGATTCATCAAAGATCCAGTTAGCGGATATTGAAAAGAGATTAGTGAAAGTAAACGAGGATTTCAAAGCACAAAATGAAAAAGTAACCAATGCCATGAAGAAAGTAAGTGTTTAAGAATACAGTGACCATTTTTATTGTTTAAATTAATATAATCTTTAATCCCCATTTTATCGCATGTTTAGCAAAAATCGGAGTCTGCGGAAGTTGAGAAATGGAAATTAAAAGAAAAAGAAGCGCAAGAGAAGATTGAAGCGGATGCGAAAGACTTGGAAAAATTAGCAAGCAAGTTAAATATCTTGCAACAGAAAATAGTTGAGTGTACACAAAAAATTACTGAACTTGGCGCATTGCCTAGTCACGAAGCTTATTCTAAGTTTAGTACAATGTCCACGAAACAGCTTTTTAAGGAAATGGAAAAGGCAAATAACCATTTAAAAAAATATAGGTGTGTAAAAATATAGGTGTGTTAAATATAATAAATTGGCAAAAATTATTTATATATATATATATATATATATATATATATATATATACGAAATAAAAGAATGATTCCAAATGGAATCGTCGGTCCACAAAGAGTTAATTACTTAAAACTATTTTGAAATATACTATAGAATGAATCGAGTGAATCAATACTAGTGAATCGAAAATTTATTATATAATGTATACACACGGAAAAAAACAGAAATATATATATATATATAGTGTATATATAGTGTATCTAAACTTTTAAAGTAGTGAAGGATTAATGTTTTAAAAATCTGTCATGATAATATATTTTAAATTTCATGTGACAATATTTTTTTCTTTTTTTAAGGTGAGCAAGTATTTTAGTGAGGTATTCAAAAAACTTGTACCTTCAGGCCATGCACAATTGGTTATGAAGACTGCGGACGGCGATGAAGGGGATGATGGAACAGCGGAACCATCAGATTCTGATAGATTTATAGGCGTAGGTAAGGAGAAATAGATTTTTACACTTATCTGAGATATATTGTGTATTATATATAATAAGAACGATATAATATATAATAAGAAAGAAAAGAATTTAGGAAAAACGATTTATTTGAAAATTTTCTTAATTTTTTTCTTCGAGTTAACTATATTTCATATTTATGTAGTACTTTATTTATGGATTTTAAAAACTTATATATTTATTATTTCTATACTTACTTATATATTTATTATTTCTAGGTATAAAGGTGTCATTCACAGGACATAGAGGCGAAATGCGAGAGATGAATCAATTATCTGGTGGACAAAAATCACTCGTAGCATTGGCCCTGATATTCGCGATACAAAAATGCGATCCTGCACCGTTTTACTTGTTCGACGAAATCGATCAGGCACTAGATGCACAACACAGAAAAGCAGTAGCAGATATGATCCACGAGCTTAGTTCTGACGCTCAGTTCATTACCACGACATTTAGGTGACGTATGCAATCAGCAGCTTACAAGATTTTGAGATTGATTCAAAATAACATGATTGCTATGTTAATAGCACAATATAAAAAATAAAGATGTGTTTATTTCGCAGACCGGAATTACTGCATCATGCAAACAAATTCTATGGAGTGAAGTTCAGGAATAAGGTTTCGCATGTCGAATGCGTGACGCGGGAAGAAGCGGCTGATTTCGTCGAGGACGATACAACACACGGTTAAAAATAAAATTAAAATATTCATAATTTACAATTAGTTTTTTGCAAAGTTTTTTTGCGTGATTTCAAGAGATAACACATGTACAAATGGATCAACTTTGTTATGATTTCCGTTGAAATTTTCTTCATATTGACAGGTTTTTTTGAGATACTTTATGAAATCACATAAAGAGAAAATATTAATTTTTTAAGTGTATATTTGGATTCTTTGCATAGATCATTGTAATAATAGTCATATTACACACGACGAATATTAATAGAAAATGCAAGAGTTTTGGTAATTTAATATTTTATTTGTAACAGATTATATGTTATGAAAACATTGCAAAATATAATTGAAATTTGGTATATATATATGAACTGTTTTTTATATTATAAACTTTGTAAAATAAAATGACTATGATAAACACGGTAATATCAGTTTATGAAATTTCAGAACAATTGTTCCATTATAATTAGTTTTTTAAGTGGAACATAAAAAAGGTGTTAATAAGATATTAATAAATAATTTCCAAAAAGAGAATTCGGTTTAAAAAGATATTTATTCGAAGCATTCCTCTTATTGGTTGTCGGCCTTAACCTGACTTCGCATTCATTATATTATGACTAATTTTAATACTAAAAGCACTAATTAAACGGTAAAAGAGATGTTAGTGTGTGTATCATATACAGAAATAATTTTATGAAATTTTTAGTTTAAAGGATTAATACATTCTAATTTTAGATTATTTTTATCTAAAGCATATAATAACACTATCAACTTCCAAAATGATATTCACCGTTTAGCCATCGGAGTAATTTTTGTTAAATGTAAATATTAGAGTTCACAGCTTCACAATTACACTTCATTTTTGCACAAAGAACCTCACTATATGTATATATGTGTATTGGTATACACATGATCACCTTAACAAGTCTTGCAATGCAAAGTCATCGATGACACTAAAGGCCACTGCATGAAAGAATCATGTGTACAATGTAACTTTTATTCCAAATGGCTTTTTGAACACAGATTTTAAGAGCAATATGACGATAAGTATCTCATATGGCTAATATATCTGCGATACGAATGCGAATTTCCTTAATATTAAAGGAACTTGCGATAGCAATGTTATTCTTCTTTTATTACAAGTATATTGTATGTGGTTCCTTACATCTTCAATGAATAGCAATGAGACCAGATTCCAGAAGTTTTTGTAATTTTGCAGCTATATCAGGATTCTTCAAATGGCTGTGCAAAAGAAAGGATTTATTAAAATTTCCATCAACAGAGAAATGGATACAAATGGTACATCAAAAAAAATGTTAATACTCTTTTGAGTACTCTTAATTTTTTCAGTATTCAATATATAATGTAATAATAGAAAATAAAGTACAGGGTTGCCACAGAAAATGAATTTAAAAATTCTCTAATTTTTTCCAGTTTTTCAGATGAAAATGGAAAATTTTCTAATATGTAAATTTTAACACATTTAGAATCAAGGATTATAAGAAAACTGGTCTATATTATTAAAAACAACGCAAAAAACATAAATAAATTTTGGGTGCAAATTCAAAAAATACTATAAACTAAAGATAACAATATTGAAATTCCCGCCATAAATTATAAAATAACTAAGAATAAACGGGCAACTGGGAATTGGCAAAATGATCGGTGCGTAATTCGCTTTGAAAAAGCTTAATCTTACATAATAAAAAGAACTTATACATGTTTTGGCTAGTCTTCTAGCCTTCTGCAGCAATAATATGATAATAGGTGATCCATACATTGGTAAACGAAACCTACGATGTTACAAATATTGAATTAATTGGGTTGTGATCATTGTGTGGTAACCTTTACTCCATTACGAGAATTGTTCTCACCAGTTACAAGGTTGGATGATAGTAATGACTAAAATTTTAAAAAATTAATAACTGTGTAAAGCTAGGTTAGAATTATAATCAATGTAAACAAGACAATGAAGTAAATTTTGTTTACATTGATTATAATTCTCACTTATAGCTTTACATAGTTATTAATTTTTATTAATTGAACACGAGCGTGGCGTAACTGGCAGCGTACGAGACTATGCCAGAGATCCCAGGTTCGATCCCAGGCAGAAAAAAATTTTGTCACGTTCGTAACTCTTCTCGACAGGCAATAGCAAACCATCGAGAGTATCCTTGCCATGTGCACTTCTATAAATAAAATTGTTGTTCGGAATCGATTGGTTCCTTTATAATTACAATCAGCGTGTATACTAAGGCATATGGTAGAAGTCACCACATCCATTCGGAAGATTATGGACAGAGGAGGATATTTCGTCTATTAATGGACCTAATATTGCTGAAGAAGACTAGCCGAAACATGTATAAGTTTCTTTTTATTAATGTAAGATAAAGCTTCTTCAAAACGAATTACCAATCACTGTGCTAATTCCCAGTTTGCCCGTTTGTTCTTAGTTATTAAATATAAATTGTAATTATTTTATTAAAATCGTCTAAAGTGCGCGAGTTTTGAACGTATTTGATTGTCAAATATAATATTAAAAAAAAAATTATAACAATTATTTGGAATAGGAGCAGTTTAAGAAAATTGTGAACAAATTTAAAAACTCCAGACTTTTTTTATATTTTCCCCTGATTTTTCCCAGTTTTCCAAGTCTGTAGCAATCCTGTAGCTGTTGGATGACAATGATCAATTTATAGGCTTGAACTTCTTATATAATTCATTTTTTCTCTTTTTCTCTCCAACATGGAAAGAAAAGGAAGAAAGATGAACTGTGCAAGAACTTTAGTTAAAAAGAATAGACCTTATATTCAACGAGTTTCAAAACTCCTGAAGTTTGATTCCTATTACTCTATATATTGTTGTCAGATTATGGGCTTTCTACAACAAGCGATTATCTAAGTTTTAAGTCTTAAAAACCATAAAAAATTAAATAAAACAATTATAACATTATAGTTGATTATTTTTCTCACATTTGATATTGATCAATTTCTTACGGCTCAAGACTTAATTAGGTAATGGTTTATTATAGAAAGTCCATAAAAGATTGATTTGAAGAAAATTTGAACAAAAGATAACTGTTAGCACGCATTTTGAGAACAATAAATTAATACATAACATCTTTCTTAAAACAGCAAAAATATTTTATCGAGATCCTCTTTAAAATGAGCAATGGAACGAACATTTGCTTATGAAATTACGCGGTTTACAAAATATTTTCTTGTCTTGATATATGCGAACATTCAGCGAGAACAACCTAATCACTTCTGTAGGATATTAACATATAGAATGTTAACATATTACTTACTCTTGTAAAGCTCTTGGATCGCTCTGCATTTGTTCCAAGATCAATCTCATAGCTGGATCTCGCAATATACTCTGGATCTCTGGATCGGCCATCGCTCTCTTTCTCACTTCTTCCGGATTCGAACTTGCGGATACGGCGCAAGAGCGATAACCCTCTAACGCCTCGCTATTCTGTGGATCCAATTCCAGAGCCTTCTGATATGCTGACAAGGCTTTTCCCTGCTGCTGCATAGCTTGCAAAATTTTTCCTTTCCTAATCCAGCCTTTGATGAATTTTGGATCCAGTTCGACAACTTTCTCGCAATCCTTCAAACCGAGATCAAATGCCGCCAGTTTAGTATAACAAGCTGCTCTGTTACTGTAATACTTGGGATCGTCCGGATTTCTTCGGATCGCCTCGGAATAATGTTTAATAGCAGCAGGATAATCTCCATCTTTATATTTTTGATTTCCAAGTTCCTTTTCCTCTTCTGCTTTAATCGGGTCAATATAAGCCTTCCTTTCTTCCTCTTTAATTATTTTGTCTATATCCGAGAGTAAGGTTTTAATCTCCGGCGTTCTGTGCTCAGACATAGACTTTTCGTAATACACCTTAGCTTGCTTCCAATTCTCCATTTTCTTATAAGCATGACCAATTCTCGTAAATGCTTTTGCTATTAATTTGAAATCCGCTCTATTTTCTCTACCGATCTCAATGGCTTTCTCACATTGAGCAATACATTTCTGATAATTCTTCTGTTCGAAGTACACTGCTGCTATATTCAACAAATAGATGATTTCTGTCGAATCCAATTCCACAGCTTTGTTATAATGCTCTAAAGCCTCCTCGAAGCTCTTTTTCTTGTAAGCCTCATTACCAAATTTCTTCTCTTCCAAGGCTTTTCTCTTTTCAGGTGGAAGATTGTCCTCCTCCTTCTTCTGAGACTTTGGTTCTGGTTTGGATTTCGGTGGTTCCGATGGATTCATTGGCTCAGTTTCCATCGATTCCTCCATGTCAGCGCTCATTCCTAACAGCACGCTAAGAGTGGTGAGCACTCTGGTGTCCTGGAGATTAATACTGAGACTCTGTGGATTGGTTCGCAATTCTTGCAGTAACTTCATATATTCAGGATCAGACAAATATCCCTTTGTTCTGGGATCACTAGCCAACTTGAGAAAGATGTCTGGTGAATTGAATGGATTAGTTACAGCAGCTGTTTTCTGGGCCCTCACCTCGGCCAGACTGCTTCTAAGCTGTGGATTGTTTGGATCCAATTGTAGGCCCTTCTCATAAGTTCTGATGGACTCATCATATCTGCCCAAGTAAGCAAGAGCGCTGCCCTTACGCGAATAACCCTTTCCCCAATCCGGTTTCAAACTGACAGTCTTTTCGGCATCCTCCAGCGCTTGCTGATACTTTTCAGACTTTGCATATGCCGCTGAGCGATTACTGTAGAGAACATGATTATTGTTGTCCAAGATGATAGCATCTGTGTAGCATCTAATGGCTTCATCATAATTTCCAGTTTGTAAAGCAGCATTTCCTTTCTCTTTCAACAAAGCTACCTGCAAAATGATACAAGAATGTAAATACTTGGTTGTACATAGCATATGTGTATTTAAGATTGTTTCAAGTGCAGTCTTAATCCTAGCTACACTGAGGTCAAAGAAACCCCAATATAATTTGCTAAATTGAGATTTTTTTTCATGTTGCTAAATTTTTCTTTTTTTTTTTAATCTATATACCTTGAAGCTTCTTAATTCTATCGACTTTTAAACACAGATTTATTCCTTAATTAATTCAATTGAAAAAAATTAATTGAAATACATCCATTTTTACAAAAATTATAAATATAGATTATAACAAATATAGATAGGGTCTTAGGGATATATATCAAGAAAAATAATATAGTTAGGATTAAGATGTCAAATCATAGAGCTGTATTAAACATCTTAAGACATCTTGAAATAAGAACGGATTATGGATATCAGCCTATCTATTTTTCTAACTAGTAGTATCCAAAGAGTATATCCTAATACTTAAAATGAAATAAATATGTATTTGAAATTTGCGAAAGCAAGAAAGTTCTGATGAAGTAATAAAAAAATAAACCTATAGTGAATACGGTATTTTTTGGATTAATAAGTTAAATAGATTAATTTTGGTAATCAATCTTTGCTATTCTTAATTTAGCGTGTCCTTGTTCCGTTTTTCTACGATCGACTGGATAAAAAAAAAATAAGTGATCGTATAATCGGAAGAAATTTGCCATGAGGGCGGGGAGGACAATCGTCGATCTCGCGGAACGTGACGAAGCGTCTCTGAGGAAAATGCGAGCTTCGCCTTCGCTATCGCGCGCATAAATCCTCGTGTGGACGAGCTCATAACATTCTTGCAACGCTTACCTGATCACTCATCATGCGCGCTTAAAATATTGAATCTCTGTCTAGTTCCTGACGACCGTTCGTTTGACTCAAGCAATAAACACGTTCAATCTCAATGATGACTCGTATGAATTCTTGTAAATCTTCTCGTGTGCCACCGAACGTGTGTGCTCGTGTGCCGGCGAAGATTTAGAAAGCTCCAGAAACAGACAAGCAGCGACCTCACACTACTATTTGCATATTCTACATTAAGGTCGCAAACCATAAGAAATTAACCAATGATAATCGATTATTTCTTTCATATTTAACTGTAATTGGTTAATTTCTTATGGCTTATGACTTGCGACCCTATTGTAGAATAGACATTAATGAGCGTGTGATGATACGTAATTATATATATATATATATGTATACGCTATATGTACATTACTGCGTGTTCACAAAATCATGCTGCACTATTTCAGTAAAACGAGATCGTTGTTTGTACTTTTGGCACTTGGAATCTTCGCTTTCTTTTTTTTCAAGGCCAAATATCATAGAGCTTATACTACTAGAGGGGGATTCGAATAGTCTATCCAAGCAATGAGTGGAAAGTGTGAGCAAGACTGAGAGACAGAAAGCAGTCGATTCCATATCTTCAAACAAGATGAAAATTACAAAAGAACAAATTTACTAGATGTTGACCAATGAGATTATTAGTATTTCAGTAAATTCGCTCACTTTTGTAATTTTCACCTCATTTCAAGATACAGAATCGACCTCAAGATGTATTTCTACTCTGTAACTTTTCTTCTTTCTGCGCATGTGCCAAAAGAGGATAGAAGAGGACAAAAATACATCTTTTATCTCTTAACTTGCTCATAGCTCAACGTCCGTATTTTCCCTTCAGTAGAATAAGCTCTATATCAAATATCTCGTTTTAAGTGCAAAAATATTTGGATTTTCATGTAACACCAATAGATTTATGGATTGATTTAAAAAAAGTGTTAATGTAACATTTATATAGATTTATGAAATAATTTATATAATAATTTATATAATAATTTATATAATAATTAGGAAAATATTTTTGCATTTATAGTAATAATAAATGAAAATTATTATATAAATTATTATAATTTTATTTTGATAATAGCATTGTTTTGTCTTTCGGGAAACTGCTCAGAATCGCTCCGAACGAATCCAGCATACTTGAAATACTTTGTTCGTTTGTCTCTCAGGAATTGCTTGATCGATATTCATCGTTATGTCATACGACGGATTATGTGTGACTCCTGCATTTCAAGTACGCTGGATTCATTCGGAGTGATCCCTATGCATTTAAAGATTGAGATTAAAAATTATTGAGATTAAAGATTAAAAATTGAAATTTCACCAATGAGGATAAAGAAATTTTGGCTCCTTTTCTAATTGGTCAAACTTCAATCTTTCAATCTTCAATCTCATGCATTCTTCAATGCGTAGTCTGATTGCAGCCTTAGGGAATTTTGTATGCCCTAACCGTCATTGTAGACCTGTCTACAATAAGCAATAAAATACATCGGGAATAAACTGATTTTTCGATATAATAAAAAGCCATCACATGAGGCATTACCTGCGTAAGCGTAAAGTGGGAAGCAGACTCTTGCATAACGCATAAAGTCGATTCTAAATTAGTTGCAAGCCGATTGTAAGTTTGTTGCGACAGCCAATCTTGCATTTTGAAATCAACGCTTCATATTGGCTGCGATGCTGTTAGTGTCAGTATTGCAGCCAATACGGTGGCAAGATTTAGCTAGAAATTCAGCAGAAAAACAAGCATCGTGTACCGCAGGCTTAAGAGTGATTCTCACAAGACTTTTCGATTTTAAATTTCATTCGATCATCCGCTCATACGTATCCGATAAAAAGGTCGGTTCCCCATGAAGCGTACTTTTCAGTACAACTTCAGTACCGCAGGTTCATTTTTTGCGCGTTTTGCATGAAACGAAAGAATTTGACCAAAAAAAACGTCGTTCTGCCCTTTGATATATTAGTCCGAAATATTAAACGTTAAAATTGATGATTAATCTCTATTGAGATTAGGAAATAATAGAGGTAATAGAGGTCATAGAGGCAAAATGAAGTCTATAATTCCTTGGTTTAAAAAATCAATCGAAACAGATAGACTACGAAAGAAAATATGTTGATTCTAACATATCACTTTATATGACTTTATATGACTTTCTAATAAATGATCAAAAAATTATCATTTCTATAATATTATATATGTTTTTTTCATGTTTTTTGAAAAATCTTCTATAGTTTTATATACAGTTTGATATAAATTTCATTCGATCCTAGCAAACGAGAATAGATTGAAATGAATTGAAATGGATTCAGATTTTTAGAAATACTGATTCACGAATGTTAAAATGAATGCTTTTCAATTCTGAATGCATTTTTATTCATTTATAGGAATTGCATGGAGCATATCTCTATACTTTTCAATCTAAAAATAATATTAACTTTTCTGTGCACAACATACATATTGTGATACTGTTAAATTCAAAATTTTGGAAATGTAGTTTTTCAATCCAATTGCATCCATCCAATTCTCTTTCCTGGGTTGGCAATTATTTTCAATTCGCTTTTTCGAATCCGATCCGTCGTATACGATTCTATATTTTCTATGATATCCAAAAGTTTCATACAAATGTATATGGAAGAGCTAACGAGAATGGATTAAAATGGATTATAATGGATTTAAATAAAGATTCATGAATGTTAAAATGAATCTTTTTCAATCCTGCATGCATTTTTATTCATTTATATTGTAGGAATTGCATGAAACACATGTCTATTTCTTTTCAATTAAAAAATAATATTATAATATTTTGTGCGGTGTAGTGTGCATCGTGAATGCTGCTTAATTAAAAATTTTGAATAAGAAATGCAGTTTTTCAATTTAATTGAATCTAAAAATAATATCAGCAATTTCTGTGCATTGTGAATACTGTTAAATTCAAAATTTTGAATAGGAAATACAATGTCTTAATCCAATTGAATAAAAAAGTTTTTTTTTAATGGCCCATTTTCTTAAAATGGGCTATGAATACTATTCAAAATTGTAAGTAGAAAATCCATTGTTTCATTTAAAAATACATGAATGCTATTTTATTCAGAATTATGAATAAGAAATTTTTCGTTTTAATTCAACTAAGTTAAAAAAAAGTTGTATCGTATAAATCATGAATTCTACTTCATTTAATAGTTAAAAGAAACATAAAAAGAACTACGTAAATATAATAAATGTTACATATGTAAATTCTCCTTATTTTAATAATTTAATAAATTAATCGCTTTTATGTATATTTTATATTAATACGTTTCCTTTATTATACAGCTAGCATATATTTTTTGTATTAAGTGTACAACTTTGCTTCCGCCGTTTTCCTATAGATGGCTTTAGCGATAAGTGGTGGTCGAAATAAATAGATCATAGACGTCATACAATAAACTTGGACATCTGTCAACATAACCCCATAGAAACATTAGTCGATTTGTGTCTGCATCATAAAGTTATTCTCGATTGAAAATGTCAGTTTACGAGCCAAATTTTCGTCATTTGCGGGAGGTTTTAATTTTTTGCTCCAATATGAAGAAATCTGCGGCTGAGGCTCATCGAATGCTTTCAAATACTTATTGTGAGGACGCTATTAGTGAAAGAACGTGTCGTGAGTGGTTTCAACGCTTCAAGAACGGTGATTTTGACGTCGAAGACCGGCATAGCAGTGGAAGAGAGAAGGTTTTCGAAGATGCAGAATTGGAGGCAAGGCAGAATTGGAGATGCTGTCAAGAACCAAGTCAATCGGTATGTTTGTAAAAAGAGAAAGTAAAGTAAAATTAAACGTCAAGTAAAATTAAAATACAATTATCATTTAATGTTTTTTTACTCAAAATTTCAATCAAATGAAAATTATATTTTATATAACTGAATGAATCAACACTAATTTTTATAAATTATTTTATATAGAAATATTTGAGCAAGACTCGTGTCAAAATCAAGAAGAATTGGCACGATCATTGGGAGCGATTCAACAAGCCATTTCAAAACGCCTCAAAGCCATGGGAATGATTCAGAAGCAAAGAAATTGGGTGCCGTACGAATTGAAGCCGAGAGATGTTGAACGGCGTTTGTTTGCTTGTGAACAGCTGCTTGAAAGGCAAAGACGGAAGGGATTTCTGCATCGCATTGTGACTGAGGACGAAAAATGGGTTCATTACCAAGATAATTCCAAGCGCAGAAAATCATGGGGAGTTCCCGGCCATGCTTCCACGTCGACGGCCAAACCGAATATTCACGGCTCCAAGGTCATGTTCTGTATTTGGTGGGACCAGCTCGGCGTAGTGTATTATGAATTGTTAAAACCGACTGAAACAATCACAGGCGATCGGTATCGAATGCAATTGATGCGTTTGAGCCGAGCATTGCAAGACAAACGGCCGCACTACAACGAGAGACACGATAAAATGATTTTGCAGCATGACAATGCTCGACCCCATGTTGCGAAAGTGATCAAGACATTTGGAAATGGGAAGTCCTACCCCACCCGCCGTATTCTCCAGACGTTGTTCCATCTGACTATCATTTGTTTCGATCAATGGCATACGGCCTGGCTGACCAGCACTTCCGGTCTTATGAAGAAGTAAAAAATTGGATCGATTCGTGGATAGTCTCAAAAGATGACCAGTTTTTTCGACGCGGGATTCGTACGCTACCCGAAAGATGGGAGAAAGTAGTGGCCAGCGATGGACAATACTTTGAATCATAAATGTATAACCAGTTTTTTACAATAAAGCCTCGAATTTCGGAAAAAAAACGGCGGAAGCAAAGTTGTACACCTAATATAAAAGTTGTAGAATAATTAAAATAATAACTAAAATTTCATGTAATTACTGCTTTAATTTATTTAAACTTTTACATGTATAAAAATTTTTTATATGGAATCCAATTCATTTTTATAGATTTAAAATATGAATTCGGATAGATTGAAAATTTTCAATTCATTTTAATTCATTTGCTGGGAGTATACTTATGTGCTATATTTGCTAGTAGCCGGTGTATCCAAACGTATGTGAAATACCTGGCACGTGCCTATATGATTATATCCAAGAAATCCGATTATTTCATTAAAAATTAATAAACCTGGCTTCAAGTTTTCATAGTTTTCAACCCAATAATTTCAATAGTTTTTTCTAAATCGGAGCCGCCGTATATAATTCTATCGTATTTTCCATA